ATTATTATTATTATTGGTGGGAAATTATAACAGGGGAATGTATTTGCCGTTTTAATATCAAGAACACTTCCGCGTTTTTGTGTGTATACAGGAATGTTAAAGATATCATTGAGGAAAACGAGGTTGACGTGACGTGATTGAATCAGGGAATCCGTGTGTCCACCACGGGAGAGGACCCTAATTGACTTTACATTGGCATTGTTTTCGTGGTGGCAGCACGTAATTTCAACCCATTACGTGCTGCCACCACGGAATGCGGTGTTAATAGGTCGTGGTCATTTCACATATTTCTGTGAGATCAGGTTGGTCAAACCATAGCCTCAGGTAATATTTTTCAACGCAGGTTGTGAAAATATGGACAGTACGTATTGAGTTTTTTTCGTTGTTATATTGGCTGAAGTTGGCCTCAAAGTTGTTAACACTTGCTAGCCAAGTTTAACTTAGCCATCAAGGCGAAGCAAACTGGTTCGCCATGTGGCTAAGCTAACCCAGCCAACACGTTGAAAAAAAGCTAAAGGCGTCAACGTGGTAGCTCAATTTCAAACTACCACCCGGAAACCCCCCAGAATGAATCATGACAGCTAGTCCTCCTGCTAACAACAGTAATGCCAACACTTGTCTGTAAACATAAACGAGATATATTATCAACTCTTCTGTTAATTTTGTTGTGATAAACTGCGTTAACCATCACACAAAACTCCCCCAAAAACCTGTTGATTTACTGCACTTCCCATACGACAACTACAGACATTTAAACGGTATGAACCCAAATTAAACATAGATTTTACAGCGATTTACTTGCAATAAACAGATCAAATGAATCCCGAAATAACTACATCATGATATCGATTCGTAAAAAGTATGAATTAATGCTTTGTCAAGTCTGTCAGCATGACGACAAGCAAACAACTTTTAAAATGCTTGTTTTCTGAATGGAGCTCAGACCGAGCAGAGCTGTGCTAACATTGTAGCTACACTCGCTAATGGTGTGAGCTACGGTAATTTCTTTAGAAAGCTGGAGGCTTTCTAGAGGAATAAACACACACCAGGCCGCCACACCAAGNCACCATGTTCACCATACTTTGTGGAATCGCTTTGATCACCACTGAGTATTGTTGTTTAGTACTCTTCATATTAAATTTATTAACAAGATCATCATAATCAAGAAAGGTCCCTCTTGAATCCATTAAGTGCAGAATCGACCAAGCCTATCTGAGAGATTATACAAGTAAACTGAAACAACCCATTGTCAAGTCAGAATATCACGCAGGAAAGAAGCAAGCACTCTCAAAATAAATCCCCTCGAAAGGTGCAAAGACAAAAACAGCAAAAAATAATCCAGAAACACAGACGTTTCGACAGAAAGTCTGCTTCACTGAAGAAGACTTTCTGTCGAAACGTCTGTGTTTTTGGTACTGCCACCCAAGTTGGTTTATTAAATTTACCAAAAGGACATTTGTGAGTGCTGGCATCTTTCCCTTTTTCAAAAGTCAGAATATCCAATGTGACTTGAACATAACAGAGGGCATTGTGGGAGGACTAGGTGGAGATGCACTTGACTGCAGTTTCTCAGGAGATAGAAAGTCGCCAAATCGTCACGTCAAACCAAAGTCTCAGGTAATATTTTTCAACGCAGGTTGTGAAAATATGGACTTATGGTTAACTTAGCCATCAAGGCGAAGCAAACTGGTTCGCCATGTGCCTAAGCTAACCCAGCCAACACGTTGAGGCTAAAGCTAAAGGTGTCAACGTGGTAGCTCAATTTCAAACTACCACCCGGAAACCCCGCGGAAAGTTTCCTAATAGCTATGGCTATGAGGGGAGTACATTACATGATTGATTTGAACGTTTATGGAGACGTAAATCTATAAAGACCCGTAGGTGCTACCGAAAAAAGGGGGGTAGTTTCTAAGACGTTCATGCAGTGATGAACGTCTTGGTACCAAGGCTACCTGCTATCACGTGAGCCAAATCCTAAAAGTTAACCAACGGTTGATATGCTCTCTCAATAGCCATGCATACAAGAAGGGGTGCTGTGAATCCTGCGCCACCGAAGGAGGACGACGATAACAACCCTGCCAGAGATGAAGAAAAAAATGGTATGTATCTTTTTCTGTAAATTGGCCAAATTGTATTAGTCAATATGGGTTTTCTCATATTATTTAGAGTTCAAGCTATGGATGTCAGTTTCGGTTAATTTTGCTTTCTGTATTCCCACACCCATTAACTGACAACCAACTGTTTAAATAAAAAAAAAAATAAAAAATGACGTGAAATACAAGAAGTGCTGTAGTCCAGTGTTGTGCCAAGTCACATTTCCGGGAGCGCGCATGCATTAAGTGACGATGAAGCTACATTACTGTGCTTGATTTCACCTAAGTAAACAGAACTTCTAACATTTGCATTTCGAAGCACTGTCAAACATTTCTGACTGCGCTATAACATCACCTCATCTATAAATAATAAAAACGAATGAACAAAAAGTAATAGCCTAACCATACCTACCTGTAGTGGACACATCAACAGGTGGGGCAGCTGGAATAAACTTTTTTTTGGCGTGGGGATTTAGACTCAAGAGTATGAGATCTCCTCACTCCAATAATCGACTTAATGTATAATATTATAACTGCAGTGGCGATCAGAGGTATGAATGCTTGGAAATCTCATGTGTTTTATTTTAGGACCTTCTAGCCTTCAGAAAACATCAAATACACATATTTAGGAAAAGCTGAGAGGCTTCTAGTTTTTATTTAAACATAGTTATTTGCATTATAAAAACCCCAAACGATTTCAAAAACCCCCGCTGTCGTTCGCTGCGCTGATTGGTTGATTTTACGTGGCTGTGCAGTGTAGACAGTCAGCATACTCTTTCATTCATTCAGTAGGCAGACTGTATGCAGTGTATACTCATTGAGTATGTAGTAGTAGTAGTATGCAGTATGTAACTATGTCATTTTGAACACAGCCTGAATTATTATTATTGTGTGCACACTCTACAGTGTCTGGGCGCTCCACTGTCCTCGAATTTCAGTTCCGCTTTTTCCTGTCTGTCAATATCACATTATTAATTAAAATTAAAAAACTCAATTTTTTACTTTTGAATTGGAAATTTATCATCCACATCCACATTGCGATGCATCTAAGAATCAAAAATTTCCCCCACCCCTACTCATATTCAAGTCATTAAATACATTAGAAAGTCTAAGTGAGCTTATGCCTGGTTGAGTCATATCCAGCATGAAGATTGTGTTTCATACATGAATAGCATCCCTGTCATGGCTTTTAGCACAACTTTTTGAATGTCATATATCACATTGACACTTATGTCAGTCCACAACATTACCATTGCCATCATCAACTCTTTTCCCTATAAAAACTGAGAATTTCCTCTCGTAGCAACATTCTACTTTTGAAATCATGAAGCAAAACTAAGTTTTATTTGTCTGTGATCTGTTGTTGTGTGCAGCACCTACAGTCACGCATGAGCTGGCCTTGACAAAACTTCAGCTGGAGGCAGAAAAAGAAAGAGGGCGACTCAGAGAAGAAACCATCGTAATGTTGAAATCAGACAAAAACCACCTTCAGAAAGAACTGACCAGCAAAGATGAATTCCCGCGAGAATTACTCAAGAATGGGAACAGATCGATGGAGCCTTCATCAAGTTCAGGTGATCAATTATATGCCAGCTTGTGTTGCTTATGGGTTATTCCATCTAATTTCACACATACATTTTTTTGGCAACTACAATCTTGGATTGTTCTAATATGTTTACTATAGACATAGACACATGAGCATTTATGTTTTAATTATTTCATCATCATTCATTATTTTGTTAAAAAAATGAACTGTGTTTGTATCTGTCTGATTTATTGCAGGGGACTCTTCCAAGGTTCAAAGTCAGTTCAAAAGAGTCTTGGTCTTTGATGATGACTCTGAAGTCGCTTTGACCTTAGCCATCGACTCGCCACTGTCCGACTCATCCTTGGAAGATGACTCCAAGAAGAAGAAGAAGAAGTTCAAGAAGAAGAGATCTCCAAAGTTGGCTGGAAGCCCCATATCAGAAACCAGTCGTGTTCGTGGTGAGATTGTTTTATAAATCATTAATGAGTAAATTTGGTGACCTGTGAGCACTTATGATAGAACAAGACAAAGAGTCTAATTACGGCGTGGGCTGTGAATGTAATTCATGTGTCATAGTTGTTGTTCCTACATCTGCAGGACAGATATGAGCACTGGAATCAGGAGGATATTGGTGTATTTGTGTGAAATTTGTCCTACAGAGTTCAATCCACTCTGTAAATATTCCGTTTTTGTTTTCAACCCCAAAAACTGCAATTCAATCCAGTTCACAACCAAAGTAAGAAAGACAACTCAGAAATCCGTTCCGGGTTTTACCACTGATTCTGACAAAATAAAATGAAATGAGATCTAGGATAAAATGCACGTTTATTGAACAATAACAAATATACAAACACCCGAAAACCCCCCGGAAAGTTTCCTAACAGCTATGGCTATGAGGGGAATACATTACATGTTTGATTTGAATGTTTATGGAGACGTAAATCTATAAAGACCCATAGGTGCTACCGAAAAAAGGGGGGTTGTTTCTAAGACGTTCATGCAGTGATGAACGTCTTGGTACCAAGGCTACCTGCTATCATGACAGCTAGTCCTCCTGCTAACAACAGTAATGCCAACACTTCACACACGTCTGTAAACACTGACAGATATATTATCAACTCTTCTGTTAATTTTGTTGCGATAAACTGCATTAACCATCACACAAAACTCTCCCAAAAACCCGTTGATTTACTGCACTTCCCGTACGACAACTACAGACCTTAAAACGGTATGAGCCCAAATTAAACATAGATTTTACAGCGATTTACTTGCAATAAACAGATCAAATGAATCCCGAAATAACTACATCATGATATCGATTCGTAAAAAGTATGAATTAATGCTTTGTCAAGTCTGTCAGCATGACGACAAGCAAACAACTTTTAAAATGCTTGTTTTCTGAATGGAGCTCAGACCGAGCAGAGCTGTGCTAACATTGTAGCTACACTCGCTAATGGTGTGAGCTACGGTAATTTCTTTAGAAAGCTGGAGGCTTTCTAGAGGAATAAACACACACCAGGCCGCCACACCAAGTTCTGCTATAAATCCGGAGCCATATACGGGTGGGAGGAGTTTATTTTTTGATCACCATTTACTTCTGCGTCCAGGAAACTTGTGGATACAGAGAGAGCGATCACATGACATTAGCATTAAAAATAAATGCATAAAGATAAGACACTGGGGAAATCTGTGCATACACAATATAATATCAAAATGTAAAAAAGTCAAGTAAATGGGTCATCTCCTCCAGGGACAATTAGGTCATCCTTGAGTTAGTCCCAATCATTTCTTTAGATGTATCCTACTGCTCTGGGAATTGAACTGACGACTTTCCTGACGAAAGCTCGCTTCTCTAACCATTAGGACATCACTGCCTGTAAACTGCCTTGTCAGTCCTAGTTGGTGGAAGAACAGAGCGCTGTGTTCAAGTTTAAAAATTTGCAGCTTGGTGCAGACTGTGTCCACTCATGTGCCATACAACACATACACAATGAATGGGTTTGTCGGTGGAGGTCTGCACTTTGCGTCCCCTATGCGAAATGGGCTCTACACTTAATGTCACTTAACTAATCTTTAGAATTATGTATTACATTAGTCTAATTGCTATGAGACAGGCTGTTGTTATTATTTAAAACATTAGTAAACTAATCTGGGTTGAGCGTCGCATTTATGATAGGGATGTCCCGATCCAGCTTTTTCACTTCCGAGCCAATACCGATATTACAGCCTTGAGTTTTGGCCGATACCGATACTGATCCGATCCAAGCACGTATTATACATATTCACTTATTTTGTTGTCAGTCATGTTAGAAAAGGTTTGATCAAGCAATATTACTCTAACAAGAACAATTACTTAATCGGGTTAGTTAGAATGATCCACAACAGTTGGTATGAGAAACTGACCTGTTTATTGTTAACAGGGTTAAATAAACAAACTTTAAACTTGAACATTAACATTAAATAAAAAATATAGCTGGTTTGCTTTGGCTACTTTGGCCCCTTAATAAATAGAAAATAAATCAACACAAGAAATCTTTAAAATGTCTAACACTGAAATTAAAATAGCAGCAAGACTCCACACAATTGTGCTTTGGCCCCCTAATAAATAAAAAATAGATTAACACCACAAGACATTGTTGGCATTTAACAAACAATGCAGCCTTTCCTTTTCAGTTTTTTCAGTTATTTTAGTAGTGTCAGTGCCAGCCTGGTGCTGCTGTTTCCTGGGACCAACAGAGGGGACAAAAAAACACACACAGTATTGTACAGCTGTTTAATAAACAAGCAATAGTCCATCCATGGCTCCAATTTCACTAATTGTGCCCAAAACAATGCCATCAGTGCTCTTTACTTAAACAGTAAGAGTGTAAACCAAATAAAAATATCACTCTCAAAAAACCAGAGCAGAAAACTAATAGTCAGTTAACTAAATTGACTGCTACTCTTCCTACCCTTCCCTCCCTGTGTGTCTGCATGCTGGCCTGGTGGATTGATAGTAAGTGCTGGAGCAGATCACTGGAATAGACTGCTTGAATCGTGGAGCGCTGGGCTGGCCGGAAAACCTGGATTGGTTTCTGCGAAAAACTGGATCAGAGTTCTGGGATCTGCATTTTTCCATGCAGTCCGATCCGATGCCGATGCACGTTTTTTGCTAATATCGGCGGCCGATACCAATCCAAATATCGGATTGGGACATCCCTAATTTATGACTAAAGCTATGCTACTCAAACTGACCCCAAGGTGGCCCTCTATCACCACAATGTATCCTCAGCAATAATACAACTGGTGTTATAGCCATTTTAAATGAAACCATGTTGCTATATTAGTGATGGCAATTTTATAAGGGAAGCAGACTGGTATTCTGCACCAGGGTTTGACATGAAATAAAAATCCCTATTTTTCTTTCAGTGAAAACCTGCACAGACATCATTAAAAGGTACAAGGCAGTGCTGAAGAAGTACAACGAGGGAGGGTCCATGAAAGCTGCCTTTGAGGAAGTTAGTGTTGACCGCAACACGATCGCCAGAACAGCAGTCATTGCGGAGCTTAGCCTTGCAGCCCCTGAAGCTTTCATAGCTGTAGGCCAGTGGAACGAGAAATCCGAAAAGCTCGCCGCATTTGTCGACCGGTGTCGTGCTATCATTACAATCAAGTGTAAAGGGGAAATAAGCAAAATGAAAGAGAAGGGTACTTTACTGCCCATTGCACATTAAATGGCCTTATTAGCCTTTTCTGGCTTTGGAGCTAGTTTGTTCTTACAGGTTTAGAATGTATCATCTTAGAAAGAAAGTGCATTCAGTTAATTAGATCCTTGGGTTCAAGTTTATAGTGAAAAAATGAATGTGCATTCTTCCAACTGTCCATTTTAAAGCAATACTCTGATGATTTGGGAGTTATGCCCTTTCTCTATCATTTTCCTAGTGAGACATGATCAATATCTTGTCTGTACGTCCAGTGGTTGTCTTCCAGCTGTTAGCATCATGTCTTAGCTTAGCCCAAGTCATTGCAGTGGATAGGAGTCAGTAGCATACTCAGTAGCTGAAGCTGCCGTTTTAGTACGTGCATTTAAAATAAAGATTTTTTAAACCTTTTTAGTTGTTTTAGAATAAGTTTGATACGTGTAACTATAGTGTGTTTACATCATGTGCTGTGACACACTATAGTTACGTGTATCAAACTTCCTCTAAAACAACTAAAAAGAACTCTTGTTTTTAGAATTAATGTTTTAATCTTTAATTTGAATGCACGTGCTAAAATGCCAGCTTCAGGGTTTGTGAAAGGTTTATTTTATTCACTTTTACAAAGTATGCTACTGACTCCTACCCACTGCAATGATTTGGGCTAAGCCAAGCTGTGATGCTAACAGCTGGAATCCAGCCACTGGACGTACAGACACAAAAAAAAATATTGATCATGTTGTCTCACTAGGAAAACGAAAGAGCATAACTCCCAAATCGTCGTATTCTTTAAGGATTTCACTTTTATTTAGCAAAACAAGATTCACTTAGTTTTGCATTTAAAATGCACCTTTTATGTAGTCATTTTGAAAGGATTTACAATATCTAAAGATGTTTTATTGCCTGTAGCCCAACATTTAAAATGCACATTTTTTGTAGTAAAACAAATTCCTTTCAAGCTGTCTGTAAGCTGTCGTTGAAGATGTTAACATGATGATGGTAATAAAGTTTTATTGCCAGTAAACGTATATGGTGTCACTTTACTTAAAGCTCTTAAAGTCATCCTATAGCATATTATTCATGTTTATAAGGCATTATTCCGTTTCAGAAATTAAGCATTTATTATATGTCAGAGCAGTTCTTTGAGTCTTTGTAACTGGCTAAAGTTATGATAGTTATAATGTGCTATGTAACCCAGTACTTCAGATTCTTCTTTCAAACACTGTCATCACTTTGGCATGGAAGTATAAAGCATTATGAATGCTGAATTTATAATGCATTATGTAACCACTTATAATACTTTATAAACCTTGTTATAAGTTGTCATACATGATTATTAACATTTATAACAATGTTTATAAAGCATTATAAATGCGTTATAATGTCTTATGAATGTGCTCATAATGCATTATAGACCTGACCTTCATAGAAAGTACTACGGATGTTTGTAATTGTCATGAAACACCATTTTAATTGGCTGCGGAAAACTCTGGTGTATGTATGTACTTTGTGATTCATTCATTGTAAATCTCTAACCTCGTAACTTTTTCAGTCTAAATTAATAAAATTAAAATATCTGTACCCTTGTTCCACAACATTATTCACTACTCGCAGGTTTTACCTACTTGTGATGCTGCACTTCATAAAGCTTACTTGGACCTGCATTAAGTTAACAGCCTTCAAAATGTAAAATTTCAGCTACACTAATTCTTATATATAATTAAGATATAAAGTTATTTTCAAAGCTAAACGGAGCCCTGTAGATTATTGGCATTTGACTGGTGTGAAAATGTACATGTACATTTAGTGGGGGTCTGATTGTCATGTGTGCTTATGTATATAATAGTGTACAAAGTGCGTGTCCTGAATGTAGCAATCACCTTCCCCTGTTCTACTAATCTTACTCATCTAAGATTGCTGTACCCTAGGGGAAATAAACCAGCCTTTTATGAAGAGAGCAGGTCTACCTGTCTCCGACAGTTATAAGAGCTGTGTCCTCTATTCTATCAAAAGATACCAAGCAAACATGCATGAGCTGCAAATAGCTACTATCTTTCCTCTGTTTGTTCTGTGCCTATACACAGTTTCTGGCTGTGAATTGTTCAGTAGGTTCGACATGCCAAGTTTGTTCAAGTGGGGAGACATAATGATAGGGGGGATTTTCCCAGTTTTTAACAAAGAGATTAGCGGTACCTCTACGTTTGAGAGCGAGCCACCTGGAGTGAAGTGTGCAGGGTAAGTCTGATTCTTCTAATACATGCCACTCTTATCTTACTAACTTGCAATTGTATATAGATTTACAGCAGCAGCTATTTAATTGAACAACCTATTTCAATAACAAAAACTTATTTTAGATTTGACCTGAGAGCTTTTCGATGGACCCAAGTAATGATATTTGCAATTGAAGAAATCAACAAAGATCCCGCTCTCCTGCCAAACATATCTCTTGGCTACAGGATCCTTAACTCATGTGCATCTCCTACAAACACTTTACGTGCTGCACTAACACTGGCTAGTGGACCAGAGGAGCTAGAACTGACCTCCCCTTGTCCTCCAGCTATATCTGCACTTATAGCAGAGTCCGGATCATCTCAGTCCTTAGCTGTGGCTGGAACTCTTGGACCATTTCAAGTGCCAATAGTAAGAGATTGCATGATATGTTTTATTGCATTAGTGTTCTGTGATATTTGACGCATTTATAATGCTTGGTTTGTGACAGATTGGGTGTTCTTTTTATAGGTAAGTTACTTCTCAACATGTGCCTGCCTCAGTGACAGAGCTAAATATCCTACATTTTTTCGGACAATCCCCAGCGACTACTTCCAGGCCAAAGCTTTGGCAGCATTGGTCAAACGCTTTGGCTGGCAGTGGATTGGGGCCATACAGTCAGACAATGACTATGGGCGAAATGGGATTCTGGCTTTTACTGAAGAGGTTAAAAAGCTTGGGGTTTGTATTGCATTTGTTGGGACAATTCTACGTACATACACTATGGATAAAATTCTGGATGTTGTTGAAATGATCAAGCAGTCAACCGTCAAAGTCATTCTTGCTTTTATTCCAGAGGGTGACTTTTACCCTTTGATGAAAGAGATTGTGAAACAGAACATTACAGGAATTCAGTGGATTGCCAGCGAGGCCTGGATAACAGCATCTCGACCCTCCACACCAGAAATCTACCAAGCTTTTGGTGGAGCTCTAGGATTTGTGGTGCAGAAGATGGCTATACCAAATCTAAAACAATCTCTTACAGGCATAAGCCCTTATGCTGATCCAAGTGCAGCCTTTGTGAGGGATTTTTGGGAGATAATGGCCGGCTGTAGACCCGTTTTACCCGGGGAACACACAGATACAGAGGCAACCAATGAAATATGCACAGGCCATGAGACATTAATGAATTCCCAGGATGTGTTCTTCAATGTCACACAGCTTAGAGTGTCCTATAATGTGTATAAAGCAGTTTATGCCATTGCACATGCCCTACATCAGCTGGTATTCTGCCAACCAGTTGCAGAAAAAACAGTTAGGTCATGTTTGAATATATCAGAAATTCGGCCCAAAGAGGTAAGGAATAGTGAAAGTAAAATTTACAATACCTTCAGCAAATAAGCAATAAATGCATCTGTATCAAAATTATCTGATCAATATGAACACACAGAAATATCTACTCAATAACATATTCCTTTCACAGGTTACAGATCACCTACAAAGGGTACATTTTAGGAATCAGTTCGGAGATGATGTGTTTTTTGATGCCAATGGTGACCCTCCCGCTTCTTATGACATTATTAACTGGCAGCTGATAGATGGGCAGGTGCAACATGTCACACTGGGTCATTTTGCTTCAGCTGCTAATGGTAATTATAAGCTCAGCATCCAGGAGGAAGAAATTGTGTGGAGGACAGGGAAAACGGTAAAATACTTTTTGTTGGAATATGAGCCCAGTTGTGCAATACATTGTTTGAACTTTTTTTTTTTCCCCTCAGGTTCCAGTGTCAGTGTGCTCTAATGTTTGTCCAGTGGGAACCAGGAGAGCTCAAATGAAGGGAAAACCCACCTGCTGTTTTGACTGTATCCCATGTGCTGATGGAACTATAGCCAACTCAACAGGTATCATAAGCATGCATGCTATATTAAACGAACATACTTATAGGTCCTGTACATGACTTTCAGATAATGCTTGTTATTAATGACACCATTGATTGTTCTGTGACATGCAGGCAGCAGTCAGTTTTGACAGAGATAGACCAGCATCATGTTGATAGTATGCTAGAAAATAAATTACAGTCATGTTAAGAATAGTGTTATTATTTGGACCATTGGCTTCAATGAAATCACTGTACCTCACTCCTTGTCACTATGATACTAATTCACCAGTAGAAGAGTGGACAGCAGCTCCAGACATGGACCAATTCAGTTTCAGCCAGTGCATCCATCCAGTGCCAGGGGTCACAGGCGCTTGCTACCTTTGAGTTGCTACCAGGGCTTAAGTCTCTCCCACTGGCGAAGTAGTGTCCCAGTGATGGTGAGGTGAGGACAGGGGACCGCAGGGTATATAACAAAAACACAGCATGTGTGAACTCTGTGTTTTAACTGTGTTGTATTGGGTGTAGGTCCTTTTTTGATATCAACAGACTGTATTTCTTTGCTAAGTTAGCTAGTGTTGCTCGTTGTTAGCACTGTAGTGTAGCTGAAGAGAGGCACTCTGAAACACGTACAAACATCACATCATTTGGATTTTACCAGAATATTTGTCCAGAGTCCTTTACGTATTAAGTCCACGTGCTGTTAGAGGAAATCCAGAAAGTTGAGAGAGGTCGCAAATTTTTAAATTATATTACAATTATAATTATTCACCCATTAGCAATAAAAAAAAAAATTAGTACACGCAAAAAGTTACAAACAGTACCTTCTAAGTATATTTTGATATTCTGCAAAAGTAACGTCAAGACACAGAACCTTTTTTTCCTGTTACTATTCAACAGGTGCAGCAGACTGCACACCCTGTTCACAGGAATACTGGTCCAATGAGAGAAAAGACAAGTGCATTCCTAAAACAATTGAGTTCCTGATGTATCACGAGCCGATGGGAATAGCTGTCACATTTGTATCCCTGCTAGGGGCCTCCCTGTCGCTGGCGACGATGATGATCTTTATCTGCTACAAAGAAACTCCTGTGATAAAAGCCAGCAACTCTGAGCTTAGCTGCTTCTTGTTATTTTCTCTTTTTTTGTGTTTTCTCTGTCCCCTTACTTTTATCGGCCGACCCACAGTCTGGACATGCATGCTGCGCCACACAGCTTTTGGTGTGACATTTGCACTTTGTATTTCCTGTGTGTTGGGCAAAACTATTGTTGTTGTTACAGCTTTCAAAGCCACATTTCCTGGCAACAAATTTGCAGTAAAGTTTGGTCCTGCAAAGCAAAGGATCATAGTTTTCTCCTGCACTTTGATTCAGGTAGTGATATGTGTGTTGTGGCTTAAGTTAAGCCCACCTTTCCCTGACATGGTTTTCAGATACAGCAATAAGAAGATTGTTTTGGAATGTAACACAGGCTCTGAGGCTGCTTTCTATGCAGTGCTGGGGTACATAGGGATCCTTGCAATAATATGTCTGGTCCTGGCATTTCTAGCAAGAAAGCTGCCCGATAACTTCAATGAAGCCAAATTTATCACATTCAGCATGCTGATATTTTGTGCTGTCTGGATAACCTTTATCCCAGCATACGTCAGCTCTCCTGGGAAGTTCACCGTAGCTGTGGAAATATTTGCAATTTTGTCTTCAGCATTTGGCTTATTAATTTGCATTTTTGAGCCTAAATGTTACATTTTATTGATCAAGCCAGAGAAAAATACCAAGAAACATGTCATGGGAAAAAAACTGAACCAAAAAATTTGACGTCTCTATTAAAAAAACTTACTTATACCTTTTAAACAATGCACCGTATCAGTAGCAGTATATGAGTAAAGCAAGATTCTTTAGCATTTATATGTTACAGTGATTCTATTATAAAGTCTGAACTTTAATTAATTACTGTTAACAATACAGTGTGACATTAAAGATGCACAAGATGGTCTGTGCTGTAGTCAAAAACCAGGGATGGAAATGGTTATTTGGTTTTTAATAATTATGACTGAATGCATAATTTACCAGTAACTGATGACAACTTCATGTTGCATACTGAATCATTGTAATTTTACATGGCAAATTATAAAATGACGTAATATCATGCATTGTGTATTGTGTCATAACAGAGGATATTCACTGTGTGTATGTACCATGTAAAACGAGGGGGTAAAATCTGTATGATAAGAATCTAAATTGATCATGGGATAACCATAATGAATTTAATGCACATATGCAATTGACATACATACAAATGATTAATAATTCCTCATTTAGTACTATACAGAAATACAAGCACTTCATTGTTTTGACTAAAGTATATTTGCCAATAAACAAAAATCAAATGTTTCTGTTTGATTTTCTGTTTCTGTTTCTGATGTTTGTGTTTTAATTCAAAAACCTAAGTGGCTTAAAAAGTGGCTTTAAAATTTAAACATTATCCCATTTAAAAACCCCATGACTGTTTTTTTTTAATATTGTCTAAATGTTTTTAAGCCTTCTCCTTTGTCTCTAACAATTTCATGATCAAAACCAAAAATCTACTGTATTACTACTTTGTTTAGACACTTTCTGATGTAAATTAGCCATCATATTAAAAAAACAAACAAATTAACAAAAACCTGTAACTAATGCCCTTAAAACTTAAAATGATAAATACAAATCAATAATACCTATTTTAACCATGGATGAGATGTGATCTCCTTTATCTACAATATGTAATAAAGGTTTGGGTATACTTACCCCTGGAATACAAGGCATCATACAATAACTTAAATTAAAAATTAAATCTGAAGTTACTATGCATTTCCGCAACCACAGCACTGTGCACACGGCTTAGCTGTTATTTCCTGTGTGGAGTGCATGCCATTGGAAATGACATATGATTATCTAGCACTTCTTGTGTCCAGTATGTGGTGCTGGAGAGCACACACTAATTATACTTCATGTTTGTATATCATGTGAAGACCACATCATGTATTATTTTTTTTTTTTTGTAGTGCAAAGCAATTGATCTTTGTCACATAAGGCTGACTTCCTGTTTTCAGTAGGCGGCACTGTGGCTATGAGTCAGTATGGGCATGTAAATAACTTCAGGTTTGGACTCTTATCCAGCATGTGAAATCTGAGGCTAACTGGACTTCATAAAGTTGAGCTACTACAGCTTCCTGTGTCATGGTAAAACATGACACAAAATTGCCTCCCTTGCCATTCCCCAGAAACACAAAAGCTCTACAATTTTGCATTGTGAGAGAAATTTGAGATAGATCTGTTAAATCCTCTAGGAGTTTTGTACAGTTCAAGCCCTTTAGGGTGCCTAAAATAACATGCTAACACATAATCTACAGTATTTCACCATCAGTCAAGCTGCTGACTTTTTTCATAATGTAGTATCACATTATTTAGAAGGTTATACAACAACCCTGTCTCAATCCAAAGTTGTTGAATGCCGGCGCTTGGGTAGTGACTTCCGCATCAGATACCAATGTAAAAAGCCGTCCTTTCACATGTTACGTGGCTGGTTGCCATCGTTGTGTAATGGCGCCCGACGGCATCTTTGGGGAATGGGGAATGGCAGCCAGAAAACAACATAAGTTAAGGGAGTGAGAAGTTTGAGCCGGGCAGTGTAATGGGTGGTGGATGGTCCAACAATCACCAACCTTATGAATATAAAACCAAACCCTGTTTTTTTTTTTTTTTTTTTTTCTCCCAACCTACCCACGTGCTTTTGTTGCCTAAATCCAACCATGTGTGTGTGTTGGCTAAACAAAACTAAGTATGTCATTGTTGAAGGACAAAAAAGGTCAATTTGCACTGTTGTACTAGCGTAGTATGTTAATTTTGAAAGAGACTGTATGCAAACTGTACATTTCCTGTGAAAATGGAAGTGCATTTTGAAAAACATGCATGTAACAGGCAGAAGTTGACACTGCGTCCCATAGCTACTTTGTGATATGTGACGAGGATGGAGTGAAAATGTTTTGTACACAGCCTGGATTTGAAATGAATCCAATAAACTCTCCAGGAGGAGTTCAAGAAAGTGCATAAAATATATGAAAAATGCACAAAATTAAAAATGGCTGACTTCTGGGTGCGTAGAGCTAATAAAACCAGAAACATGACGTGACATATTTCAACAACATGAAATGTTTAAAATAGAGTTGTTAGTGTTAATCCTGAACACCTGATGATAACACATTCATGTTTTTTTAATTGCATTAGTCTTGTGCTGCATTTTTCCCCGCTGCCTGTATTTCAAAGGCTATAGATGAGTGACTGTTAAAGCTAGAGTGATGATACTGGTAACATATCAAACTAGAAGACCTAAGGAATCAATTACCAACCATTTGATACTAGATTTTTAGGAAGGGGGCTAAATAACATTCCACATTTAGGCAAAATTTTCGTGAGGGAAAAACAGCATGGCCATTTTCACAGAGGTCCCTTGACATTTCACCTCGGAATATCTGACTGAAAATTAGCTCTATGGGTACCTACGAGTCTACCCTTTACTATATGGTAGTCCCTTACAATTTGGGGCACAAACTATGCACTTTTTGCATGCAATGTTTATTACAGATTTATCACTAGAAAAATTTGACATAGTGCAGAGCTGCATCTCAAATTAATTAAAAGGTTTCAGCTTTCAGGTGATATATAACACATCATATACTGTTGACCTGAGGGGTAATAGCGTGCTTGTGTCTTCAACCACACTGTTGTAGCAGTGCAGCATTTATTTTAAAAAAATAAATCTAAAATTCAAGATCATATTTCTTCTAATTCATTTGATTCCCAATCGAAATACTTGGATAAGAGTTGCTTTATCTTGTTAATGTGGCCTCCAAAACTGATTTGAAATGCAGAATTATGGAATTTTAAACCTGCAATTTAAAAGCTGATTACTCACCATTAACTATTAAAATTCAGTGATAAATCGCAATTAAAAACAAAAAAAACATTTGACACCCCTATTCAAAAATGGTGAGAGGAATGTGCATAGCAAATCTCATACATACCTGAGCAACTTTGCTCTCAAAGGCTAAAAGTAATCGCAAGGTGCTATAATACAAATATAATTTTTTTTTTTTATAAGTGCAGGGACTTTCATGCTCTGGCATCAAACTACTAAAAAAAATTGTTAACTTGGGAAAATCTATTTCAAAAAGGTTGCTTTATTGTTGTAACTCCAGCATGATTCG